CTCTCTCTCTCTGTCTCTCTCTGATCAAACTGGAAAATAATAATAATAACAAAGTTAAATAAATAATTCATTGAAAAATTTTTTGGAGAGATTTTTCGCTATAGGGCGCGTGTGCTCGCCAGACAGACAGAGAGACAGAAAGCGAGAAATCACCCCCCAGAGGGGATGGTCACGCTGCAATCCCTTCTTCTCCATTCTCCTCTCGGGATCTTGGGCACGCACGCACACGCGCCTGGCGTGAGTTTTAAGACACCGGGTCCGGGACGCGAACCGCGGTGCACTACGTGGGAGTCCAGCGACATAGCCATTACGCTAACTGCTGGTCCCAAAAAATTCTTTAAAAAATTAAAAAGGGATACTGAAAAGGATGGCCAGTTGGTGTGGTGGTTGCAAACCTGCATGGTTCGAGTTTTGGACTTGAAAAAACATGGGCTGTGTTAGGTTTGGTTTGGGAGCAGTGGCCAAGTCACGGCAAAGGTGAAAATACCAGAGTCAGGCTTTGGGGCTTAACAAAACCAACATCATTGATTCTGCTTGGGTGAGGTCCGAGGGAGTCACGCCCAGGGTGGGTGCTGCTCGTTCTTAAAGGGCCATTGTCCAATAGGTGGTCACCACGGGTCCTTGTCTGGCCAATGAAGGTCGCTGTTTCTGCTCAGCTTTGGGGGGCGCGCCAAATGCGGAAGGGCAGGAAAGTCCATTGGTGATGGCGGGCCAGATGCGGACAACAGGAAAGTTCCTGCTGGCGGGGATGTTTCCGCCATGTTTCTTTTCCCTCCCCCGAGACCTACAGGGTGCAGATGCATGCATGCCCAAATCCTTAGAAGAAAGTGGAGAAGGGATCATGGAGTGGCCGTCCCCTGGGGGATGTTTTCTCACTTTTCTCTGGCAAGCCCATGCACTATATAGCAAATTTTAAAAAAAGATACCAAAAATATTGTTAATAACACTAAACGAGAAGTAGATGGAGGAAAAAATATCAAAGACATACTGGGTGCAGATGCATGCATGCCCAAATCCTTAGAAGAAAGTGGAGAAGGGATCATGGAGTGGCCGTCCCCTGGGGGATGTTTTCTCACTTTTCTCTGGCAAGCCCATGCACTATATAGCAAATTTTAAAAAAAGATACCAAAAATATTGTTAATAACACTAAACGAGAAGTAGATGGAGGAAAAAATATCAAAGACATTAAATGTAGCCAGAGTCGAGGGCCCGTTTGAGCAGATACAGAAAGCCCTTGGCTGCAGAGGTGCCACACGGACCCCGAGTCGGGCGCTTCACCCTGCCCGCCCCCACACCTGGTGAGGAGTGGCAGCGTGTCCATCTGGGCACATTGGAAGGAGCTGCAGGACTTGCTTCTCCCTGCTTGGAGCTCAGTGCTTCTCTTGAAGGGACCCTTCCCTCCCAGGAGGCTGTCCTCCGGCCACCCACGTCATAGGCCTCAGGCTGCAATCACAGAGATGCAGTTCGTACTTAGGTTTCCTTGAAACTGGCTAGCAGCCCAGTTTCAATCCCGGTGGCTTTAGCAGTGACTCACTACTTGTCACCTCAGAAACTGGCATTTTGGGCACCACCCTTTTGCAGAGCTAAAAGAAACCGTGAGTCAATATTGCTCATGTTACTGGGTTCCACCTGCTCCAAGGCGCCCCCTGCATGCCCACAGAGGCCTGCAGTCTGCCCCTCCCAGGTGAGCTGTCCAGAGCTGTTTGGAAGGTGTGTATCTGGATGGTCTTTGAGGTCTTTGAGGTTAGGTACCTGTATCCCAGGAGATGGAGGTTTGAAAAACTGTCAGAAAGGTCAGGTCCAGGGCCAGATGGAGGTTAAGGCAACCGGACCTCATGACTAACTACTGTTTGAGTCCTGGACCCAGCAGCTTGAAAAACACCAATTCCATGTGTGTGAGCCCAGAACCTTGAGAGAGGAGAGAGGCCATTGTGGTGCGACTGTCTCCATGGGATAAGGCTCTCTCCCGCCACTCCTTTCATGCACCCTCTGCAAATACTAAAACGAAAAAAATGCCACAGCCAATGGATACTGTGCAGGTGGAGATGACAGGGGTTGGGGCCAGCAGGTGGTGTGGTGGTTAAAGGTGCAGGATTCCCACATGACCAACCACAGTTCGAGTCCTGGGCCTGGCAGCTTGCTTTCTCCCTTTTTCTCTCTGGTCAAATTAAAAAATAATAATAAATGGAAATAAATAATTCTTTTTAAAAAAAGAAATTTTAATTTTATTATTACTATTCTTCAATTTTTTTTTTTTTTGGAGAGGTTTTTGCTATAGGGCATGTGCGCTCGCCAAAGAGAGACAGAAAGTGAGAAATCACCCCCCCAGGGGGGATGGTCACGCCGCAATCCCCTCTCCTCCATTCTCCTCTTGGGATCTTGGGCACGCACGCACACACGCCCGGCGTGAGTTTAAGCGACCGGGTCCGGGACGCAAACCACGGTCGACTACGTGGGAGTCCAGTGACATAGCCGTTATGCTGCTGGTTCCACTATTCTTCAATTTGATGAGAAAAAGTAAGCCGCTAGGTCTGGAACTCCTAATGGCCACACGGAGGGAGTGAGTCCAGCACCTTAACCACCATGTCACTTGCTGGCCCAAGAGGTATTTATTTATTTATTTGTTTTTAAATATTTATTTATTTAATTCCATTTGCTATTATTTTTTTCAATTTGATCACAGAGAGAGAAAGGGAAAGCGAGAAAGCAAGTCGCCAGGTCTAGGACTCGAACCACAGTCGGCCATGTGGGAATCCAGCGCCCTTAACCACCATGCCACCTGCCAGCCCCAAGAGGTATGTATTTTTTAAAGACATTTTTGCTATAGGGCACATGTGCTCATTTGAGAGAGAGAGAGAGAGAAAGAGAAAGGGAGAAGTTACTTCCTCAAGGGGGATGGCCACACCACAATCCCTTCTCCTTCATTTTCCTCTCAGCATTTTGGGCACGCATGCATATACACTCCTGGTGTGAGTTTTAAGCCATGGAGTTGGAAATTTGAACCACGATCGACTACATGGGAGTCTAGCAACATAACCATTTTGCCATCTGCTTGTCTCGAGAGGTATACTTTTTTTTATTTTAAAGAATTATTTATGGGGGCCCGGCAGGTGGTATGGTGGTTAAGGGTACTTGACTCCCGCATGACTGACCACGCTTTGGGTCCCAGACCTGGCAGCTATCCCCCCCCTCTCTCTGTCCCTCTCTCTTGTCAAATTAAAAAATAAATAAGTAAATAAATTAAATAATGTAAAAAAAGAATTATCTACGGGGGTGCTGGCAAGTTGTGTAGTGGTTAAAGGCTCTGGGCTCCAATATGGTTGACTGCGGTTCAAGTCCCAAACCTGGTGGCTTGCTTTCTCATTTTCCCTCTCTTTCTCTGATCAGACTGTAAAATAACAGTCACAACAACAGGGACCAGCAGTTAGCGTAATGGCTATGTCGCTGGACTCCCATGTAGTTGACCACAGTTCACATCCCAGACCCGGTGGCTGAGAACTCATCCGGGCGCGTGTGCGTGCGTGCCCAAGGTCCTGAGAGGAGAATGGAGAAGGGAGTGTGGCGTGGCCATGCCCCCTGGGGGGTGATTTCTCGCTTTCTATCTCTCTGTCTCTCTCTGGCGAGCGCACGCGCCCTATAGCAACAAACCTCTAAAAAAAAACCAACAATAATAAAGTTAAAACAAAATAATTATTTTTAAAACTTATTTATGGGGAACCAGCAGTTAGCGTAATGGCTATGTCGCTGGACTCCCACGTAGTCGACCGCGGTTCGCGTGCCGGACCCGGTGGCTTTAAAAC